TAAGAGTATTCAATCAAGAAGAGAGCCATTGCTGTTGTAGTGATATAAATCTTAAAAAGATTTATAAATTTTGATCTGCTACATGCCAATAAATGATTAGTTTTATTATATAACTGATTCACTGTGGGTAACTGATTTCCTGGGAAGACTTTTGTGTATACTCATTAGATCATTCAATGTTTAGGGACAGAGAGAGAGAGAGAAAGAGAGAGAGAGAGAGAGAGAGAGAGAAGAAAATATTCTGGCATGTGTAAGTGTTATGCATAATGCAACTGGGGATATATGGCCGTGGCTTCTAGCGTCCCCAGAACTTTCATGTCCTGAAAGTCAGTGATAAGCTGTTAGAAGATAAGTGGTCAGAGTCTGTAGCCATCCTGACTTGGGGTGATCTGAATGAGGGAAAGGTGGAAAGGGTGTAGGTATCAGATGGCACAGGCATTCCATCAGGGTCAGCAAATGGTGTGGCTGTAAAAACATTCTTGAAATGAGGCCACCAAGACTAATTGAAGTTCTACCTACCCCTGTAAAAATAAAGGTGAACGTTAACACGCTTGGGCTCAAAGGACATCTATAAACCTCTAGTCTGTTGAAAAAACTTCACATCAGCAAGTACATAGATTTGCAACATGCCCAGAAATGGAATATAAGGAAAATCAGTGCAAAACAGGCTAAAGGGAAGAGTCCTGTAGTGGTCGAGTGGTAGAAATTACTTTGTGACCATGGAGGTCAGGAAGAAATAAAAATGTAGCCTCTTGGACTTCATTTCAGCAATAAATACAAGGGAAAAATGAGGAGGCATGTGAATAGAGTTCTCACACTTCTGAATTCCACCATTAGAGTGAAGGTTTATACAAATGGAAAATGAAGTGAAAAGGAAAGATTTCGCTAAAATGCATGGTTTACAAGTTAGTACATAAAAATAGTCAAAATGTACCAACTAAACTTTGAGTTTAGATTAGAAGAGAAAGCATGAACTAGTGGTGTGCTCACTTTAAGACTGTTAGCACGTAATTTCATATGTTGACTAAAAGTAAAAGCTTGGAAAAGGAAGATATATTATGCCAAAAAATAATCAAAAGAAAGCTATAGTGAACAAATCAATGTCAGACAGACTAAACTTCAAAACAGTGATTTGCATTAGGGATAGAAAGATAAATTTCATAATGATAAAAGGATAAGGACCTGATAAATAGCTTAAGCTTCATGAAGCAAAAGCTAAACTTAAAACAGAAAAAAAAACCCAGAAAAACAATTTAATATTATAGTTGGAGATATCAATAATCTTTTTTTAGCAATTAAAAGAATAAGCAAACAAAAATAACTAAAGTATAGATTTCAACATTGCAGATCAATTTAACATAGTAGGGATATATAGAATACTCCAGTCAATAAAATGAGAACCCAGGTAAAAAAAAGTCCACATGGAACTTCACCAAGGCATGGTATATTGTCAACCAGAAAACAAATATAGACAAATTTAGAAAAAGTTAAATAATACAAGTTATGTTTACTAACAATAAAACAAACTAAAAGTTCAAAACAGAAATGGAGGATCACTAAATATTGGACAATTAAATTTCAAATGTCTAAATAACCAATAGCAAATAAATACTTATAGAAAGTGAGAAAATATTACAAATGAAATAAAAAGTGAAAAGCACAGCATATTAAAATATGTAGAGAATACCTACGGTGATATTTTAGAAGAAAATTTGTAACATTGAATACCTATAATAGACAAAAATATGTAATCAAAATTTCAGCATTTACCTTAAGAAAATAGAAAATTATGCACAAATGAAACCCAAAAGAGACAAAGAGAAATAATTTGAAGTCTTAGTTAGAAACTTTCCCACACAGGAACAAATGGTTTAGGTGGATCCACTAATGAATTTTCCAAACTTGTAAGAAAGAAATGATACAAATTCCACCCAAAATTTCCAAAAAAAAGGGTGAAGGTGTAATTCTTCCCAATCATTTTATAAGACCCAAACTGGAAAATATATTTAAAGGAAGTAGAAGGCCTACATCCATTGTGAATAAAGATTTTTTAAAATATTACAGTAGCAAAAACACATATAGCAATATAACAAAAAATAATACATTATGATCACATGGAGTTCACCTTGGGAAGGCAAAAACTATTATTGACAGTGTAAGAAAAGAGACTAAGCACAAAACCATCTCAAAATTTAAAAAAATATTTAAAATCATGGATAAATCTTAAAAACATTAGTCTGGATGAAAGAAACCAGGCACCAAACCCAGCCTACTGTATATCTAATTCCTGCAGTTTCTGAGGAAAGGCAGAATCCCAGGGTCAGACTAGATCAGTGGCTGCCTGGGCTTGGAGGGAACGTACACATGGACTGAAAGGGGGCTTGAGGGAAATTTGGAGAGCAATAGAAAATTTCTCGACCTTGATTGCAGTGGAAGTTACAAACTCCCATCAAATGGTACAATTTAAAAGGAGCAGAATTTGAATTCTGTGTGTTAATTATCCTTCAGTAAGCTGACTTGAAAAAAGTTAGGAGGTATTACATTACAATACCGGTATCTGTGGCATCTGCAGTCATGGTGGTCTTTGCAGACTCCTCTTTGTTTCTCCGCAGTTTTGAGTTTAGACAATGCGCTGGGTCTCTTTTATTCCCTGCTCTCTTCATTAATTTGCCAGTCGGATTCCACCAAAGGGAAAAGGCACAGGAAAGAAGTACTGTACAGTGAAATTTTAGTGTTTGTTTTACCGGTTCCCTCCCTCTCTAGTTTGCTCTGGATAAACTTTATCTTTTGATAAAAGGTCACACTTGTGCAAGATAACTTTCTCCACCTGGATGCGTGTGTCCGTGGGTCCCTGGAAACCTCATTAGTCCCTCGGGACTACAGAGCTGGAAATTTCTGGAGCCTTCTCATGCACCATCCCCCTGGGTCCTATACCCTCTGCCCAAGTTGCTTATTCTTTGATTTACTAAGTTTGAAAGTGCCTCTTCTTTATCACCAGACTCCTGACTGACAGATACCAAGGTTCAATCCCTGATCCCAACACTTAAGCTATGAGGACCTGGACTATGTAGTTAACAGATTTGAACTTCTCATATAAGTAATGCCTTGTTGGCAAAAATTTTTTGGGAATTAAATAAAAATATGCTAAAATATGCTAAATGACAAAGCATTCATCAATATTTATCCCCTTTTCAGCTTAGTTTTCCCCTTCTATCACAGGATGCTTACTTTCCATTTCTTTTATTTCTCTGCATGCTTCCATTTCTCCCCTCTTTTTATAAATATTTGAATTTTTTTCTAGCATGTACAAATGCATCAGTAAATCACTTAGCAGTGTATAATGTACGGAAGCCTGTATAAGTGGCTTAAATTTATTTACCATGGTTATGTTCCTGGAATAAACTGTTGCTATTTCTACTGCAGCAGAACAGTTAAGTCAAAGTTTTGAATTAGGTCAACAAAATCCACAAATAGGGTGGAATCTTTGGACTGTCTAAGCAGGGACAGATCTGGAATAAATCAGCCACAGATATCACTTGTCAGCATGCTAAGGGAGGCATTTCAAATAAGGGTAGAAGGTACGTCAAGAATATTGGCTACAGTAGCATTGAGATGCATCAGTTAAATCTATATTGAGAGTTTTCCATCATGTGGATTCAGGATACATAATAGTTTCATGGCAGTAATGTCTAAACAAGGGTCCACAATGAGGATGTATTTTTATCTTGACTTGTGAGCTATAGCTGCCAACTACTCACATTTCAAGCTTGTGGGGACATATGTTATCCCTCAAACCCTTCTTAAATTGAAGCATTTTACTGTCCCACCAATTCAGTGTGCTTTAGTCGGTTCTCCTCTCACGTTCCAAATTCACCATGTAATCGTTCCTACACTAGTGAGTAGTATTTTAAATGGCTTTTAAGCAAAACCCAAAAGAACAAATTTATTTCTATTTGTGCAAAAGTATGATCTGGTTTGGATTCTCTTTTCTAGCTTTTTAAGTAGCAAGACAAAATGCAGGCATGTGCAAAAGACCACATACAGGATTAAGGAGCTCTGTATTTGAAATCAGGCTCTGTTTTTATCCCCTACCTGCATGATACTGAGAAGTCATTTCATTTATCTTAGCCTCAGGCTCTGTGTCTGTTAAATGGGAACCTGCTGCTGGATCAAATAAGCCAAAAGGATCTCATGCCATCACATATTCCCCTTAGAATGTAAGGGTTTATTTTTAATAATTTGTGAACGTAAAGATACAAAGGTAATTAGTAGACAATGAGAAGGAGGGAAACCTTCACAAAGAGGCAGGAATGTTTTAGTCGAAAGAAAATTAAAATAGTGGAAAACAGGAGCAAGATAAGAATGACTACAACATCTGCATTTATAGCCTGCATGTCACGGTTCAGTATTTATAGGTTTGTTAGTGACAAGCTTCCCAGTACAGCTTGTTAATTACCAAGTAGCTGTGGGTTTCACTGACACAGCGTTGTGCACCTGACCGAGGAGGAGACACTTCATGATATCCTTAGATGATCATTTAATTTAAGGCTCCAGGGCCAGGGATTTAGCTCAGTGGTTCTACCGCCTGCCTCTCAAGCACAAGGTCCTGAGTTCAATCCCCGGTACCAAAAAAAAAAAGAAAAAAAAAATTTAAGGCTCCAAAAAAGGCACCAATAAATCAGTTTGGGTTTCTGGTTATAATCTCTTTAAATCTTACTTTGAAATTCCCTGGTGATTTTAGCCAATTTTAGGGCATTTTATTTTCCAAGCACGATTTGTAGTACTCAGAGCTGGAGTAAAACTTCAGGAAGAGGTGATGTGCCTGAAGCTGAACACAATACCTAATGCATACTTAAATTTTCCACAGTTAAACTCTCATTGCTCTTAAATGCCATAAAGTCATAGATAGGGGAGGAAGGATAGAGGAGAGGGAGAGAGGGAAGGAGGAGGGAGAAAAAAAGTGGCAAAGAGAGAGGGAGAGAAGGGGAGAGAGAGAGAGAGAAGACTGAAAAGAGGCTTGGTAAAATGTTCAGTGGAAAATCTGTAGAAATGATGTAAGAGAAAGCAGAGGCAGGGATTGGAGTAAGGGACTATAAAAACTTCGAGAGAAAACTCACTATGAAGACTGGGTTTTGGAGAAACTACACAGACAGGACTCTATAGTTAGAATCTCCTGATTTATTACAAGGTAAGTACAAACTGATAAAGATTTAAGGATATTTTTTTCCCTCTTTACTGGTATATTTACTTTCACATACTTTTAAAATATATTTTTATATCTTGGTTTTGAAAATTTAAAAAGAGGTTTTTAAAGTAATTTTCCCTCTCTAAAATGATTAGATTATCCAAGATGCTATTGTATTTCAAATTTAAGGTGGGGTTAATTGTTTGCTCAGACACTTCACACGTTTTACATTGTTTTGTGCTCTTTTTTAAAATTTCAAAACAAAGGGAAAGGGAACTAAGACAATTATTCTATATTATGTTAATGGTATTACTTTGCTTTTATCACAAATGTCAATGTCAGGAAATTACTTAATGTGCAACACTAGTCTAGCTTAAATAATCTGTGTAGAAAAGAAACTTTCTTTTATCTTTATTTCTATTAAAAAGGGAACATAAGATCACGCCTAAGGTAATCAAACTATATTCTATAAATCCTAAAACTTCCTTTTTGATTATTATAAAATATAATATGTAAATGTGATATTAAAATGTAGTTGAAGTAGTCTTAAACCATATCTGTTCTTCAGTATTTGAAGTATTCTTGCTACTTAGTGATTGAATTAAGAATTCAAACTCTAAAACACAGATTTGAGTTGTATGAGAACAGTTTTGTTTCAAGTTTTTATCTATAAACCTAAGTATGCATTCAATAAATTCCACTTGAACAATGCAAAATATTGTCCCTCTGAATTATAATAGACCATAGGTTTAGGAATGTGGTTATTTGTTTCAAAGTTATACTTTTAGAAATGGATTATAGTGATTTTTAAAGCCCATAAAAGTTACAGAATGACTACTATCATTTTGCTGATTATCTACCCAACGTCATTAGGCATGTTTTCCATCTTCTCTGCTTTGGTACTTCTCTGATACAACTGTTTAAAAGAGAGCCTTGTGCAGCTGTGAGCTGAAGTTTCCCTATCTATGAATTGCACTGTGATTTCATTCAAGAAGTTAAAGTACTTAATGTTGACATTTGTTTTCTCCTTATTTCCCAAGGTTTTTTTAACTAACTCCTATAATGAATCAAGGGCAGGAGAGAAGCAGATGTCTAGCTGACTAAAGGGTCAGCTCAACCTCAGGGTATCCCATATTCAAATACTCTTTATGATTTGTACTACTGGTTGATAAATTAGATTAATTGCACTTGCCTCAAAGGAAAATAATTCAAAGTAAGAAATCCTAAAATATTGTCCTAGCTCTGCCAGTATATCTCCGTACTTGAGACAAGCCTTAAGCACAAATTAGAGCTCAAAAGTACTATATTACTGAAAGAGACAAAAGGAATGAACAGTGCCAGGCATGAGGACGAAAGAATGATCTGGAGAAGCTCTCTTATGAGTCAATTTTCTCCATGCAGCAGAAAAGGGACTCAGCTTCACAGAATCTAGAGGCTAATCTTTCAATGTTATCTCATTTAACTTTCTGTCAACTTTTTATCTAAAATGATCCCTACCCACCAGACAATTTTTGCTTAGATTGTGTTCAAAAGAACACGAGCTTTGGAGTCAGAAAACCAGACTGATTTCCACAGCTTTTTGACCCTAGACTAATCATTCAGCTTCTCTGAGGCTTTTCTCTACTCTTGGTGAAGCTGAGGGTCCGGGAGTGTGAGTTAGGGACACACAATTTCCCTCATATCCGTGGAAACCTCTCTAACCAGCGCCCCCCTCCCCCAGGTTAGATGATGTCTCTGATGTAAGGCATTTTTAGCTGAGTTTGTCCTCTGATTTCTCCAAACAGGTATCAGGATATCTTTATGGAACAATGACAAGCATCACTTGCCACTGATTGCTTAGTGCCCTGGTTGGCTTAAAGTGGCTGTTGCTCGTTGTCACCCTTCAGGGACACCCCTGTCAGCTCCTCCACCCTGCAGTAATAATCCCTCTGCCCCAGCCTCAGCTCGCTCTCCTTCTGTTGTCACTGTAACCCTTCCTTACCTCCTTCCTGAGCCTCGCTTTCAAGCAAAGTCTTTCTGAGTCTCACTTTTTCTGTCTATTGAGAGTTCTAATATTGCCTCTGACTTTCCGTGGTTCTATATTCCTTTGACACATGGGCTCTACACATGTGAAAACTGCCTTTAAAATCACTGCATAAAGTGATATGAAAAATTCCCTCTAGTTAATATGATTTGGGCTTGAAGACTAATTATGTTTTGAATGTCACTGAGTTCTCTTTCCTTTCGCATTTTACCTAGAAGGATATTCTCTATGGTTTGTATGTTAATATTTTCACAGGGCTGAGAATAATAATACAGTAATGCATCAAATGACCCTTTCCCAGGACGCTCTTTAGTGAAATTACTTTCCCTCTAGACTTTAATTTTATTAATTTTATTTTTCAGATGGCAAGGACTAATTTTATTACTTAAAATTAAGGAAGAAAAAGATATTTTTCAGAAAAATAGAAAATATTAGTAAAAATATTGTGAAAAGCTGTCACATTTGGAAACAATAGCTGGATAATATAAATATTACTTCTTGACTAGCAGACTTGTATGAGTCATCTTACCAGTATTATTTCTAATCCTCAATAAGCCTGAAAAAAATCCTTGCCCCATTTTCTTGAAAAGAACAGAGACTTTTCTTTTCTAAAAAACAGAGGCTAAATAACATGTCTGATCAAGATTCAGACCTAGGTCTACACAAGTTCATAACTAATGTCTTTCTACTTATTCACTTTGTTGTGTTGGAAAGTGTACAGCCAATGCCAGGAGAAAGAAAATCAAGGTTCTAAAGGAACTCAGATTATCTGTTTATCAATTTTATACAAAATAGAATAATACTTTCTGTATTAGATTGAGCATGATTGTTGTGAGGATTAAGGAAATAAATTTATTTTAAATTAATTAACCACTACGCAAATGATTTTTTAAAAGGTTATTTATAATAATTATGCTTGAAGGGATGCAATCATTCCAGCAAGATCAGCTGATGCAGGAAGAAAGTCCTGTAAGTGAACAGCTTGGAGGACAAGAAGAGTCTTCCTGACTTTTACCACCCTGGTACCATCCTGTGCTTGACTATTATACAATTTATATTTTCCTTCCTTTATTTGCAGGTTAGAGAGTACTATTTTATTGATTACATAAGCTTGAATAATATAAATTAAATGTAGAATTTTTATTAAATATTATACATGCATTCAAAGTGGGACAAAGTGTGAAAGGCGTAATGACATTCCATATCATCCTGAAGCCTATGTATCTTATATTAAACTTCATTTATCCAATTTTACCCTCTAAAAACCTTTTGTGTACCATATTAAAATTACCTATGCATCAAATGGCCAGCCAGTATATTACTTGGAACTCATAATTTTCCCTATCCATAGTTTTAAAGGTTCTTTTTTTCCCCATTAGTGGGCATTGGAATTAAACAACAAATTTTAACATAATTGTATAAGGCCACATGCCAAACTTCGTTTTCATTTAGAGGTATCATAGTTTTATATAAGAAAATGTTTAGCTATTCAGAAATCTAAGTGCAGGTTACTGTTTAATGAGAAGAAATCTTAAAACTCTAGACGGGTGATGACTGGGAAATGGGGTCACGTGACACTTTCATTAGAATGAGAATGGATCATGTGCAACATTAATGAACATGCCAGGATTCTAGCATGACCTTCCTCACATTTCACTGTAGGTGTAAAAACCTAGATCCACCTCTTCTCTTTTCTAAATTTAGATCAGATGACTGATATGGATTAGTGTACGCATTGATGTAAGTGGCACTGCCCTCCTGCTTAAGTAGCACAGGAGGCTGCTTCATTCATTCATTCAGAACTTAGTGCTGGCTCTATGCCAGGCATTCTCTTAGGCGCTAAGATGAATTCACGAATGTGGCATAGTCCCTGCTCTCTCAGAAGTTCACAGCACAACTAAACTTTGTTAAACAGACACATCTGACCTTTAATGGGATCTTTCTTTTGGAAGGCAATAGTATCTGAAAAAGAATGGAAATAGTGCCAAATAGAATAAAAGACAATATACATGCACAGGTAAATTATTCTTCCTGCTTTGTAGTATTCAGGGAAAGTGACACAGTAAGATCTGCACTGCATTTAAAGTCATTTAAAATTCAGGTGTCTATCACATTAGTAACAACTCATCCAAAAATTTCTTACTTTACTTGAAATTTGTTTTGGAGATGGAAGCATGTTTTATATTTATACACATAGTTTATACTTGAAAGAGCATGAAACTGGAAACCTGAAAATATAAGTTGTTATTATGGCTCTTGTAACTGGCTTCATGACTTCAGAAAATTTACTACTGTCAATTAAAGAGCAATAAGAAGTAAGAAAGAACACATTCCCCTTACTTTAATTTTTTTTGTAAAAAATAAGGAAATGTTAAGTTTCACAGTATCAATTTGCACTTTATTTTCAAAATTATACCCAAATCATAAGGCATAATGGCCATCATGTAATTATTAAAAATTAAATTTCATAAGGTAATTTTTAAATAAATAGCTAAGTACCATAAGTATTTTTCAGATGTACTGAGGAGGATATGAAATATATATAATATATAATATATAGTATGTATTATACATTATACATGTGTTTATTAGCCAAAGAAGCTACAAGCTACAGTTCAACTGTTCTTGATTCAATTATTCCTCATTTTGAGTTATGAGAATATTAAAATTATTCCCTGTTTCCAAGTACCAAAAGCCACAGCTACACTCCATTGCTGTGTAGAAAGCCAATTTCTCCAAAATTTGTGGCCTCACAGTTCCAATAAAGCAGTGAACCCAATGATCCAAAGCTTTAGGTTAATGTTTCTTGGTCACTTCACTCATCAAAGAAAACCAGAAACAACCTCATTCAAAGTTCCATTAAAATATTGCTACACATTGAAATATTGAGATTATCTGTAGAATGACAAACTACAACTTCTCCTCTTGATTTTTTAATGTAAGTTTTCATATTGTGTCTATGAATGGTTCTCGAGATGGCTGAGTGAGTGTGAACTTCATGTTTCCTGGGAGAAGTTGGCTTCAATGATCTTCCTTCAGCTCAGTAACTGTTTCTTTATAACATAATCAGTCTCTTACATTAAATTATAGTTCATGACATGTTTCATGCACCATTCTTGAGTTCCCATGGTAAATGTTTTAGCTATGCTAAAATAATGAAAAAAATTATGTAGTCAGTTTTTCCATATATTTGTCCTATTTTCAGTAAATAATATTAACTATACAATTAAATAGTTTTATTACCTTTACTTAGTAACCATAAGCCCTGCGTGACTTTTGCTATTTGTAAACTAATCAAATCCCTAAAATTAAAATAAATTAAATATTGTTAATTAATGAAATAAGTTTTATTATACAATAAAGTATTTAAAAGTCTTACACAAAGTGACCGGGCCAATGAGAAGCGCAGCAAGGATATTTATTTCTAGTTTTCAAATCTAATCCTGAGTTTTTTCCTTACTATCACACAAAGAGTCCACTAAAAAAATGTATGCACAGTTCAGTAAAAGAAAAACTTGATAGATATTTGAATATTAAATTTAATGAGATTAATACACTTTGCTTTTGGCCTCTAAATTACAAGAGGTGCTCAAAGCGGTGGCCATGAGCTTCCAGACATTTATTACTACAGCTGACTGCTGCTTGGGTAACCTTGATCATCGAGATTGCAGCACATGCATTTTCAGTTTCTTCTCTCAAGGCCGGCAGTGTAGTGGGTTTTCTGAGATATACGACATCCTCTAGGGTCCCACATATGAGAGTAACACATCTGTGGAAAAAATCATACTATTTTTCTTTTTCTGAATTGTATATACATTTCTTTGGAGAACTCTGTAGTTTTCTGATGTTATTGAGTACCTACATAGGGAGCCAACCTTTTATTTTTAAAATATTTATTAATTCATAGGCAAGATTTTGGAGTAGCATATAAAAATATGTAAACTGAGGGTGTAAGTGTGGAATATTTGTGGAGGTTTCAGGTATCTGAAAATTCTTATTATGAAAATCACTTACCTTACATCCATTAATTCTGTATCCACCAAGGTTTGTGTTTATTGAGAGTACATTCATGTGATCATCTTATTCTGATAAGCAAACTATTAATTCTAACCGTAAAGGAATAAGACACAGTCGATTCTTTAAAATCATTAATATTATCTGTTTTTAAAAATTTACATCTGAAAATCAAGTTCAATATCATAGCATCCTTTCCTTCTCAAAATCCAAAAGAGAATCCAAAAGAGAAGATGTAATTCTTCTCTTTGGCCTATGGAACTTCAGTTCTAACAATTTTTGTTTTGAAGCTGTAGGGCAAATGAATCTAGTGACTTTCAAATAAGAGGAAAAAAAAAAAGTCCCAAGTAAACACTTAAAAGTAAATGTATATACTACATTTCATCAATTCTCCCTTACATTTAACATGTCTGAAATTTAAATGTCTTGTACTTGATAGCATGTAACAACTTAATGGATAGCATTTTCTTCTTTCTTAAAACACCTTTTTTTTTTTTTTGGTACCAGGGATCAGACTCTGGTCCTTGCACTTGCGCAGCAGGTGGTGAAACCACTGAGCTAAATCCCCAGCCCCTCTTAAAACACATTTTTAAAAATAGAATCTATTGGCATAAATCTTAAAATTGAAGCTTTAGAGGCCGTCTTTTCAGCTAGAAATATACCTAAATTTATCAGGAGAATATTTATGTCACCGCTAAGGACAGTCTTGTGCATAGCGTCCAGCTGGTGTGAAGAACAGCAGAAAGATTTCTTAGCTAATTCTGTACCAAGTACTATCATTATCTATGGTGTTTGCACTTCCAGCAGGAAAAAGTCAGAGTCACCAACTGTCTTGAAAGGCCAGAAGCAACATCAGAGGTCAGTGAGGCCAACCCCAGTTTCATGGGTCTAGAGGAAAAGGGTTTGCTCGATACCACATTATTAAATAACAACAGAGCCAGTGACCAGTCTGAGTCCCACAAGGTCTGCACTACAAATCTTATTGCAGTGAACTGCACTGGGATTGTATTAAGCATTCACTTTTAAGCACTCTAGAAATTATTTTCACTCTGTTAGCTACTATTGCTAAAGTTCTTCTCCATTGGATGGGAAAGGAAAAACATTAATCTTTTATTTTTAATAAAGTCCTTTTTAAAAAATGTTTGTTGAAAAAGGGAAGGTGGAATAGAGTCTGCTTAAAATATTTCCAGGCAAGATACTAGAGAAAATAAAAAATTCTCAGATGATATGAAGATTCACACAAAAACCCAGTACTTTTCTGAGTTTCTAATGTTTTGATCAACTATCCATAAGGCAAATGTTAATTATAAAGTTTCAAATTGAAGAAAACGTTTTAATCACCCAAGTAATGGTTTTTCTTTAATATCAGAGTTCAAATGCACATAATTTAAGTTTTATTCATTAACAACGTGTTAAATCAGAAGCTGGCTCACCTTGCTTCTCTTAGATCTTTTCTTCACTCTAGCTTGCTTTCTCCTTTTTTTTTCCAAAATGATTCTCAGTCTTATCTTCTTCCAAGACCACTTGGAATGACTCATTGCTGCCCTGGTTCTGAATAATGAAAATATTTTTCTTCATATTAACAATCTTCTCACTACAGTCTAGTTTGAATATATTTGCACCGGTTTCTGTACTGCTGAGCTTTGACAGCAGTGTGGTACTATGAATTATGACAGTTCCAAAGGAATAAACAATATATGTTGTTTCCCTAATTTAAGCGACAAATCTCCATTCCTTTCTACCTGGATCAATCCACTATTATGCCAGTCTTAATTTGGAGAATTGTTGCAGGATAAAATGAGTTCATACATGCCCAAAGTCTTTGAATCAAAGCTTAAGATACAATATAAACACCAATAAACACTTTTTATTCAGCAGTATTATCTAAAAAGTGAAAATATATAATAGTCCTATTGCCTAAAAGTGAAAGAAGTACACACAAAATCTTCTAAGGAAAGTTCCACGCCCACGGTCTCTTTTGAAATGCCTCACTACTCTGTGGAATATTACTCAAAACTTAATAAAAATGAATTATGTGTTAAAAAGAGTGCAAATGCTTCAGTAAATTCACATAGTGAATCCTTTGAGGTTTCCTTCTGTGATCTGGAGTGTACATGGGCCAAGGAGATTTTTAAATCATGGGCTATATTTATCTACTATCAACAAAATAGGAAAAGGGGGATAAATGGAGTCTTTTCCTTTCCTCCCTATAATTTCCTCTGCTTCTAATTTTGTAGCAATCAAGTTTCAACTAGTTAATCAAATGTCTTTTGTGTGGCAGGTGCCAGGGTGGTGTTTGCATTAGTGTATCAAAGGCCGTATTTAGGAATTTGGCCTTTCAGTTAACTGGCTACGATGCATGGTTTTAAGCCATTAAATGCATGTATTTAAACTCAGCATTTATTTTTACACCTACTTATCCAAATAATCAGGCTGTGGTGATCTGTGAGATGATGCATTATGACTTTTTTCCAATATACACCCATGCACAAAAATATATGTCTCAGATTAATCGTCAATATTATAAAAACCCATCATCCTGTGCCATTTACAAGATTGCAGAGATGAAGAGAACTCTGGTTAGTAAAATTTATATAAAAATAGTTAAAGGAAATCCACATGGAAGGATTTATAAAATTGGGTGAATTCACACTTTGTAACCTATTTTTAACATACTTAAAAATGAAGAAGGAAAGTATTGCAATTGTAGTTTATCTTTGATTAAATGAGAGAGCTCTTTTATAAAAGAAGGTACATAAGAAATATGAGATCACTTTTTCTAAATGCAGCTATGTTCTTAATATATCTTCCTTTATGTGGAGGAAAGCCAAAGAAACATGAGAAAAATCAAGAGAAAGATGTGATTCAGTGGCTGACTTTCTAAAGGATGGTGAAGGCAGCGTTTGGTTGGTTATATTCAGTTATATTCAGTAAATAACTGTTAAATTTTCCCCCGTTTTATGTCTATTTTCTTAATTTAGAGACATATGACTCATTGTTTTCTGGTACTTACAGAAAAACTCAAATTAAATATCAATTTGACAAAAAGAGAACACAGAAAGAATTTATTGCTTCATTCCCCAAAATGATGGAGTACAAAGAAGCTAGTGATTAGCATTATCTGACAAGATTCCAAAATAGAATAATTGATGTCATAATGACATCAAATGAACAGTTTAAGCTAAATTATTTGAAAACCTATATTTGATCAAATAAATGCTGTAGGTCATATTAAAATATTTTAATCTCCATTTTAAGTGTAATCGGCATACTTCATAGAGACATTACTCTGTATAAAACATTTTTATTCGTATTCTAACCAATAACATTTATTAGTAAGATGTACACTATGGTTTCATAGCACAGCAATAATTTTCTTTTTTCTTTTTTTGGTACCGGGGATCGAGTTCGGGTCCTTGTGCCTGTGCAGCAGGCAGTGAAACCACTGAGCTAAATTCCTGGCCCCTACACAGCAATAATTTCTGAAGTGTCATAAATAAAATCTCAGTCATAGCAATAGGTATGGAGTTATTAAGGAAATACTTTGTACAACCGCATAAATGTTCCTTCATTTACAAATTACAAATACTACATGAGATAAAGGGATTATGGGTAAATCAACTCAATCATCTTGAAACTCTTTTGAGGTGAGAAACAAATCTTACACAAATATGGAAAATGAAATTCAAGTGGGCTACGTGATGGGTATCCAAGGTCATAATAATAATAATATAGCAAAATGGGACTCAAACCTATTCTTCAAATTTCATTCTAGCATCCAAATTCTCTTTGGCCCCAGCAGGGTTTCCACACGATTGATTTTTTTAAGGAAGTTTAAGAAGTTTTCTGAGGTGTTCGTTCATAAAGAATGACCTTCTGGAACTTTGCCAATGCCGTCTGTAAAGTGCCACAGCTTATACTCAAACTGGCTTCTTTCTAACCTATGTCTGTGCTCCTCCCTCAGTAGGTCAATGCCTCTTCATGGACTGGGCAGGATTAGGAGGTCCAGTGGTCAAACTGACAGCCATCAACCCTGACATAAAGCATAGATGAGATTTAGCTGGAGGTACAGTGGTGTGGTTTTTCATACAAAAGTCAGAAATTCAGAAATGACAGAGTTTTGTGCTCATTACTCAGAATAAACAAATCTATTTTTGCACATCTACTCTTTAAAATTATGGATTAAAAACTGAGTATCTTATGGTTCCTCCATAATCTTATTCATTTTTCTCCATCCTTGGAGGCAACCATAATCATCGATCAGGTTTCATTGGCTTATATTTTAATTACATGTATAGATTTCAAAATGTATCAAATTGCTTACACATTTCTAATTTTGGTAAATGATTTTATGCTGTATATACTGTTCTAACACTTCTCTATCCCCCCAAAGTGTTTTATTGAAATCCATACATATAGATACATATACATTTATAAAAATCATTTGTTATAACAGTAAGCATAAATACAGCTAAATCATAAGCTTTTCATCTATACTTTGAATGTCTTCATTAATAAATGTATATTCTCTTGAATGGAGCACATAGATTGATTCTAATTTTTTGATACTGAAAACAATGATGCTGAGAACTTTCAGACATATCTCCTTGTAAGATATAGGAGTTTCTCAGGGATTTGTAGTAGAAATGAAATAAATGTGTCATAGGACAGGACCATTTCACTCTTTCTATTTATTGCCAAAGTTTTTACATGGTTGGATCCATCTCCAACTCTGGCAGAATTTTTTGCCGTCTTCTGTTTCCCAGTACCATTTTAACATTTGACATAGTGACTTTAATTTTTTCTTGGCCTGATGTGTGTAAAAATCACTTCTCTTTATATTTACGTTAAATAAGTTGGATATATCTGGAAATGTTTATTTTCCTTTAAATTACCTCCTTTTCTATAAAATTTCCATTCATAACTTAAGCCTCTTTTTATTTGTCAATTTTCTTACATTTTATTGATAAGATTTTTTACATTTTCCAGGTACTAATTTTGCTTTTGTATATATGATGAAAATATCTTCAAATTTGCAATTTGTCTTTCAGTTGTGTTTATTGTATCTCGTCTTATAGATTTTTAAATTTTCATATTTTGAAATTTGATAATATTTTCTATAAGATGCCCTCCATTTAAATGGTGTTTAAGAAATCTGGACATAACACAAGAGTGTAAAGCTGTTCTCCTATTGAATGTGGGGTGTGTTTGAAATTTTGAATTTAAATTATTTTAGATCTACCACATTCTTTCTGCCTCAGACTCCTCTTGGTGTTTTTCTCTTATATCTTGCACATTTTCCAAATTTTCACTTAAGTGCATGAGCTTGTAATCTCTGGATTAGATGAAAAATAAAGTTATATGTACTGAATTTCTCAGATGCCGGATTAGTTTGAATTCTTTAAATTATAAATTATATCTCTACAAGCCCAATCTAAAAGACTCTATGAAAATGAAACATTTGTAGATTTTATTCTGAGAGATTGATAGCTTCTACTGAGCATTATTTAAGTTGGTAGAAATGCATTCCCTAGAAGTGAATAGTTTAACTTATTATTTTCCTCTAAAAGCTTTGGAGGAACTTTTATTTTCTATCTTTCTCTTTCAAACTAATTTATTAATGCTAACCCTGATGTATGTGACCCTCAGATGCTGGACTGGGGCCCGGCAGGTGCACACTTCATCCTGGCTCTCCTGGTGCTCTGGAGCTCAGGAAAAGTTCTCTCAGTGGATGCAACAACCGAGGTGATAAAAACCAGTGTACAGTGCCATGTCTTTATTTTTTAAAAACATCAACCACTTCTATTAGAGTCAGAAGGAGGTCTCCTTGACAAATAGGAAAATTATTTGATAGTATAAAATCAAAGACATATGTATTTCTCTATTATTTTATTTTTATTTCCAACATCATTCAAGATTGAAAGCTTTAAGTGCAAACAGCAATAATTATTGATCTTCTTTCCTCAGTGGATTCAGAACAAGTCACTTATATATATGTTAAGAGACATGAAATGATAAGAAAGATATGCATTCCTCAAACAGAAGAGCATTAAGAGAAAAGTTTTTATCATTTCAACCACACTTTTATTAATTCAGTTGCATAAAGATTAAGTACTGTATGTGCAATTTGAAATTTGCATGCCAAATTTTGTGTTGTTTTAGGTAAACCTTTTATTATAATATAAACAGTTTCTTGGTACCTTGAACAAATATGAGAAAAACATAAGAGAACATTTCCACACAGAGCAAAGTTACTCTGGCTCATTTTTATCTTATTAAAAACATACATTCTCTGTACTTCTTACATAACATGAAATGAGAGTCAGAAATGCATTTTCCAAAAGAATAACTTCTGCATGAATTCCATGATTTTTTCCTCTGAAGATTAAACATATCTTTAAAAAGAAACAAAATTGTATTTATGTATGTGTTAGTTAGAAGAATGAAAGCATAGTTTTCGGAAGATGCTTTGGGAAATCAAAGATCTTTGCCCATTAACATTTTGTCTTGGACACTTTGGGGTTTCTTTCTCCCTATTTTAGAATCTTTCCTTCTCTAGTTTCTATGCTGGGACCAAGAGTGTGGAAGTTGCAAGAATGTGATTAAGGGGAGGAAAGGAAAACAACCCACTAGTGCTAAAATTTCCTCCAATAAGGAGAATAGTTTCAGTCTGGTAGAAAAGATAGTGTTTCCTGGGCTACAGAATAACTCAGGATTGTTAACAGCAGCAAGGTTTTTTAATGGTGTACTTGGCCCTAACAAGGGACAAAGATTTCGCAGACTGGACCCTTATCCTTAGATGACTTGTGCAAAGTACAAAATGACAATAAAAAGGGAAAAAATTTACCTGGGGAACATAAATTTATTAGGATCACTCTGATGCACTGTAGATATTTGTGAGTATTTATTAACACATCTCATGGATGGAGATATTGTTTTCCCTGCCAACAGAAACTGGATTTTGTTCATTTTTTTTTAATCTCTTAAAGCTTATGCAGAACCTGATGACAATGGATTTTTAGTGGCTTATATCAAATAATGAATGAGTGGTAACAGAATATAGGAAAATAGAACGAAGCTTGGTTTTCTTTTCAGAATTCAGCCAATAAATATTCATCAGAAATGTGGGTGCTAGGAGATACCTCAAAGAACTAGGACTAGAGGTCCCATTTGACCCAGCTATTCCCCTACTGGGTATCTTCTCCAAAGAATTAAAAGAATCATACCACAGCGATATATGTGCACCTCTGTTTATAGCGGCACAATTTGTAGTAGCTAAGGTTGGAAAACAGCCCAAGTGTCCATCAACTGGAAACTGGATAAAGAAGATGTGGTTTTTTTATAAAATGGAGTACTACTCAGCCATAAAGAACAAGAAACTAGAGTCATTTATAGCTAAATGGATGCATATTGAGGCCATACTCAAGTGAAATAAATAGGACACACATGTGTAAATACAGAATAGTTTCTCTAGTGTGAGAGACTGAAAGTGTAAATAAGGACAAAAATGATTAAAATGAATAAATGATAATTTGAAATAGGAAAAGGTCCAAAGGTGTAGGAGTGGCGGGAGGGGAAGGGGAAAGGGAAGAAAGGAAAGGAAAAATTATGAGAAAGAAAAAAATGGAAACAAAGTCTATGTAAATAGGGAAGGGTGGTGGAGGTGAAGGACACATAGGTAATGGGGAAAAAAATAAGAACTAAGATACATCATGTTCAGGCACAAGTACCCAATGATAAATGTAAATGAATTGTATACCTAAAATGTACCGATAAAATGTACCAAAAAAAAAAAAAAAAAGAAATGTGAGTGCTAACTATGAACAAAATGCTGAGCAAATAAAACAGTAATCAGATACTCATTGTCCTCATGTTATTTATAATCTAATAAAGAGGACAACTATATTGTAATTAATCTAAGGTAAAATATAATAAGTGCTTTGATGAAATAGGTATAGATAAAGTGCTACACGAAAAGTAAGAAAGGATTCAGTTGTTCCTTAAAGATCTGAATGAATGATCAGTATTAAATTTTACAGATAAATCTGAAATTTTGTTTTGTTTTCTGTTGAATTTATTTCCGTGTGTGTGGTTCATTCTCCCCCCTCCAAAAAATTGCTTAGGCCTTTCCTTTGAAACACAATTCCATGAGGAACTGTAAAACGTTATGCAATGGACATCTCAGGTAAAGGTAGAAAATGCCTATGTAGACGGCTGTGCATAACTGATGTTCCTTCATCTGAATCAGTGGAATCACCTTTCTCTGTCTGCCCTCCAGGCCTTTGATTCTGTAATCACAGATGTACAGTCACCACCCACAGCCAGGAGAGAGAAATCAGCCACCGACCTGGCAGCAAAGCTCTTGCTTCTTGATGAACTGGTTTCCTTGGAGAATGATGTGATTGAGACCAAGAAGAAAAGGAGCTTTCCCGGCTTTGGGTCTCCCATAGACAGACTCTCAGCTGGCTCTGTGGACCATAAGAGCAAACAGAGGTAAGTAAACTTTGGGAAAGGAAAGTTTTCATTTTCTAATTCTTCCATTATAGGTTCTAAAATAGAGAATTCCACATGTAAAAGATACAGTGAAAAATGTGTTGGGAACAGGTTTGACAGTGTGTTGGCTAACTTGTGGCATTTGCAGAATTACTTGGAAGTAATTGTTCAGGGTGCCAAAGGACTGCGACAGTATGCATTGGTCATTTTTCATAATGTATCCTAAGGAAAATCCTGCCACATGGAGATGTACGATGGCTACTCTAAGATATCACTGCATTTAGGAGGTGAGGGAGAATGTGTGCAGAATGGAATAAGTAATCAAACCATTTGGGTTTTCTATTTAATAGAGATAATGAGAATGCTATTTTGTACGTGTTGGTAGTACATAATGTTTACATTTCTTGTGTGCAGTTGATACATGTACATAAGATGTCCCAATTCCTTTGTTTCATCCCTTGTCTCCTTCCTCCCTCCTTCCTCCCTTCATCTCTCGGTCCTCTTCCTCTGGCAACCAAAGTGATTGGAGAGCTAACATTATGAGAACTAGTTGTAAGCACTGCCTTTAAAACTAAATTGTGAAGTGATCTTTTTTAAGGAAGAACATGATGTGGCTAGATAAGACACATAACTACTTGCCATAGAAATTGACAATACAGATGCAACACGATTATCAAATATTCAAGGACAAGGATGAGAGCATGTAAAATTTAGAATGAATTTTTGTATTGATTCATGATCATTAACTGGGTAACAAAAGATACTACAGGTAGATACTTGGGGACATGAAAAAGAGAGAAATGAAAAGATTACAGATTTAATTTAATGAATCTTATACTAAAGACAGGAAAAACTGAAAACATAGATTATCCTATAAAAGTATTAATATAAAGATAACTGTAAGAATAAAAATTACAACTTTCTTATTAAAAAGACCACACAAAGAATATAATGAAAACCTTTACATAATTAAAAATGATCTCTAAATTGTGAATTAAAAATCATTATCAACAAATATAAATGGACAAGAGAATGATGGTGGCAAACATCTGTAATCTCAGCCTTCTAGGAGGCTGGGGCAGGAGTCACCGATTCAGCCTGGACAATTTGAGAATTTAGTGAAACTTGTCTCAAAATTTAAAAAAAACAAGAAGAAGAATTGGGGCTGTAGGTCAGAGTGAAGACCCTGGTTTCAATTCCCAGTACCACAGGGGAAAAAATACATATATACAAATGGATGTAAATTGTCTATTAAAGTATGATGTTTTCATTTTGACTGGCTAAGGAAAATCCAATACTTTTCCATACTTCAGAAATATAACTAACAATAAAGCAACTTAGAAAGATTGACAATAAAATAATACACAAATTAAGATTATACCAGGAAAAAGTATAGATCAAAAATGAAAACATTGCAACAAAATTTATAAAAGAAAGACCAGAAGGAATCCTAGGAAATACAAAGAAACAGGAGATATAACCCCTTTTTAAAATCTAAGACAAATTATTCATTAAAAATTCATAGACTTACACAACATAGCCCATAAAATGCATCTTATAAATATTTTTGAAACTTGAACCATAATAATGAAGAATATAACTACTTTTCAAGTAAATGTGCAGCATTCATAAGTAACTTTAAAGTAACAAAAACTTATAAAATTCTGGTGAATAGTTATGTCAAAAACACATCCACTAACTGAAATGTAAAAAAAACCCCTAATTTATAAAAACAAAAACAGAAAACCAAAAGGCACCCTTACCTAAAAGTATAAACTATATCAATAATGAACCATTTATACAAAGAGAAACACAAAATGAATGTACACACTCTATGAAAAATATAATATTATGGGCATTTAAAGCAAATATCAGATAAAAATCAGCATTCTGATAATTAAAATAATGCAAACATTGCACTAAAAAAAGCTAGAAGGAACAGCAAAATATGTATACCAACAAAATCAGGGAAGAAGGGGACATAAGGTAGAAATTTAAAATAACAAAAACTGAAACCAATAAGGTTGTTGAGAACAACATAAGATGTAACAAATACACCCAAAATTGATTTTCTTATGTTAACAAAAATACAAACCAGACTAATTTTTTAAGTAGAAAGCAAATTCATGAAATTGAAAATGACCAAATGGGACTACTGAAGTAGAAAATCTTTTCAAAAGAGTAAGAAACTACTGAAGACCAAAGAAAAAGGATAAATTTTGGAAGAAAAAAAACACAACTTAGAAACGTTGACCCCTCCCCAACCCAGTCCAACTACAATAATTTTTTATTTTAAAAGAGCTTCCTGATAAAAAGTGGTCTGTCCAGAAATTTCCACAAGAGAATTTTATCAAATCTTAAGGTATCAGATAATACTAAAATTAATTTACCTTGTCATATTACAATTAAAAAACAGTTCATGGGCTGGGGATTTAGCTCAGTGGTTCTGGTGCCTGCCTTGCAAGTGTAAGGTCCCAAGTTCGATCTCCAATAACAAAAAAAAAGTTCAAATTTATTTTCTGTAATAAATATAATTTGGAGTCCCAAATCGCAAATATTGTTTTAAAATGAAAATTTAGACTTATTTCACATGTGAATATTAATGCAAAAATTATAGGTAAATCTTAGTGATGAAAATTCAACATTTTAAAAGCATAGTAAATCTTGACTGAGTGAAATGTTTTCCAGAAAAGTGAGATTCGATATTCAAAATTTATTTCATGTAATCTATCATACTAATAGAACAATGAAAAAATAATAGAACAATGAATTAAAAGTCTATGATTATATTCATAGATGATAGAAGATATATTTAATAATATTTAACACATTTATATCTTTTAAAAGTAACATTATAAGAAACAATAGATACTTCCTTAAAGTGTGTGTGTGTGTGTGTGTGTGTGTGTGTGTATGTACCTCAAAAAACTGTATCTTACTTATGGCAAGTCATACTAGAAGTTTTATTAAACTGAGAAACAAGAAAAGAATGCTCATTATTTCTGCTATGATTTAAAAATTCCTTTATGCAAGAGACAATAGAATTTCACAATTAGAAAAGGAGAATTAAAACTGTAAAACTATGTTTACTCATAAATGACTTGGGAAACCAAGATAATAAATTAAAAAATCACTAAAACAAAACCCTTTTAATAGAAGTAATGATGAAAATAAGCATAAAAAAGTTAATACAGCTCTTCTACCTACAAATATAAATCAGATACTCTATATAAAAGAAGACTACATTTATAAAAGAATGTTATAGTGCTCACCCTGCAGCGGAAAAGCTGAAGTTTCAATCCCCAGCACCACAAAACATAAAAGAAGAAAGAAAAAAAGAAAAGAAAATACATAGGCATAAAGTTAACTATATTCAAAAAACATGTAAGGTAACCTATGAAAATAATGCTAAAATACAAAAAGTAGATCTAAATAAATGGAACGTATATTATGGAGGCACCTGCTACGTTCTTAGGTCAAAAGACTCAAAGCACAATGGTATAAGCTTCCTGAGTTAAATTACAAATCAACACAATTCCAATTTAAAAACTACCAGGTTTTTTGGGAGCTAAGACAGTTAATCATAACATTCTTTTGAAAATATAAAAGCTAGTGTAATTAGGAAACCCCCATAAAACAAGAAAGAAGATACCTATCAGGTCTTCTTAAATAATTTACAGTCTTACTTTTCAGTATTCAGCCTCTGAATAGACAAACAAATAAATAAGTTAGAAATCAAAGAAATAGACCCAATTATACATGCAGCTTTAATATGTATAAGGGTGTGGAAGTATAACTCAGTGTAGAGTGCCATATTCAGTATGTGAGAAGCATTGGAATATATGTGATATATAATACATTATATATTTTATATATTTACATGAAGCACATTTATATATTACATATAACATATATGCATTTTATCATATAAATTTTCAGTGAGTTAAAGGATATATTTTAAATAAATGATAAATTGATTCAGTCTCAAACTACGCATGATGATAAATTTTAAATGGGCCACAGACTTAACTAAAAAAATAAACAAATCATTGTAGGAACTAGAATAAAACATTGGTGAAGTTCTACATAGAGAAGGAATAGACAAACTCTTCTAAATTCTGAAGTAAAATCTAGAAAGTATCAGGAAAAAGAATAAGTAGCAGATCCACTTTATTACATATTTTTAAAACATTTCCATGACAAAAGATACCACAAAGCAAAGTAAAAAGACAAAGGATAAGTTAGAAAGAATATTTGCAATTTATATAAGACAAAGGTTAAAGAGTTTAATATATAAAGAATTTTGAGTTTAATATATAAAGAATTCTGAAAAATAAAGAAGGCAAATAATATACCTACAGAATAAAAGGGGAGAAAAGAAATAGAAATTGCCCTTAACCATGTGAAAAGATACCAATTATTGTCATTACAGAAAAAAACCACACTTTTCATTGAAATAGAAATTCTCACCAGTTAGATTGGCCAAAAAATTCACTTAGAAAATAGTAAGGTTTTCAGAAAAGGCACTCCCATATATTGTCGATTGGAGCACACTGGAACCCATTCACAGATGAATATGGCAATATTCGTTGTATCATGCATGTACTTCCTTTTTGGCTCAGCATTCCTTTTGTAATCTCTCCCAAAGATACACTAGTAAATGTGGGTTGTAGTTTGGCGGAAAAATATACACAAGTTTATTCATTATAGAACTATTTGTAAACACACATATACACAAATGTTAATCAAAAGAGCTAGTTTATCTTAGTTTGGTGAAAGGAAAGATTTGTTATTATGTTTCTTTTTTGTAAGAATCTTTTTGGTTTCTGTTTTATACTTTGAATAACCACTTTGAAGATAAAAATACACAGTATAACAACTATTGTTATTCTCCTACTATTTGATTACAAAATATTGGGTTTTTTATAAAATAAAAAACAGTCAAATTTAAGGGGCTTTGTTTGAATAAACTGATGTCCACACAGTGGGGCACAAAGTAGCTCTACAGTTATAAAAAGGTGTGAGGGCGATGTCTATATTCTACTTCAGAATAAGAGTCATAACATTGTCAGTTAGTTATTACTAAGTGGATAAACACAAGTATAGTACACAGCTTAAAATGACCTTGGAGGTTAAAACTTATCTTTTCCTTTTTTCTTTGTTTTACCTTCATCTCCAACTCTTTCCAGAGGTCAGCAGTGTCGAGGACACCCGAGGCATTTGAACACAGTGACTGATGGGCTGGAAAAGTTGAGTTTGCTTCTAAGTTAGAGAAGTTTTATATTGCATTTTAGTTGTTTATGTTTTAACCTTTTCATTTTATTATCATATATTGGCAGTACATAAGGATTACATTCTTGTGTGGACCGGCATACGCACATAACTCTTTGTCATTCCCTTCTCAGTTGCCTTCCTCTTCCCTCCAACTTTCTCTTTCTTTTTCCCTCTTCTTACTGTATCTATCATTCATTTACTTCCTTATTTATATTTGATTTCTCACATAAGAAAAAACATGCAATTTTTAAGCTTGCATTTCTGATTAATTTCACTGAACATGGTCTCAAGTTGCATCTACTTTCCTAAAAATGACTCAGATTTATCTTTTTTTATGGCAAAGTCATATTCCATTATGTAACAATGCCACTTTTTATTTATCCACCTATCCTTTATTGGACATATAGGCTGCTTCCTAGATTTAGCTATTGTGAATTATGGTGCTATGAAGATGTGTACACGTGATCACTGTAATAAGATGTCCTTCAGGAAAACACCTAGAAGGAGAATAGCTGGGTCAAATGGAATTTCGAGTTTTAGCTTTTTAACGAATCTCCATACTGATTGTACTAGTTCACACCCCCACCAACAATGTAGAAGGTTTCCTTTTTCTCCTGCAGCCTAGCAAGAATTTGCTATTATTTGATTTTTTGAGGATAACCACTGTTTCTAGAGTAAAAAGTTATCTCAGTATTGTTTTAATTTGAATTTCTTTAATGGCCAGCAATGTTGAACATTTTTTCATGCATTTATTGGCCATTTGCACTTCTTCTGAGAAGTGTTTTTTTCATCTCTGCAACCCATTTTTTTATTGGGTCTTTCATTTGGGGAGGTCTAATTTTTTTTGAGTTCTTTATATATTTTAGATATTATCATAGTCCTCTAAACAGCTGCTGGCAAATTTTTTCTCATTCTGTGGGTTGTCTCTTTACTCTGTTGATTGTTTCTTTTGCTGTGCAGAAGCTTTTTAATTTGATAAGACCCCACTTGTTGTATCTGGGTATTATTTCTTGTGCAATTTGGGTTTCTCTACAGAAAGCCTTGCCGATGCTTACGTCTTCAAGAGATTTACCTTTTTCTATCATTCAGCAGATTGTTTCTGTTTTAATATTGAGACCTTTGAACCATTTTGATGTTTGTTTAGTACACAGTAAGAAACAGAGTTCTCAGTTCAGTTTTCTGCATGTGTATAGCAAGTTTTCTCAGCACCATTTGTCAAAGACATCATCTTTCCTTCAATAAAGTTTTCAGCCCTCTTGTCAAAGACCAGGTAGCTGCATGTGCCTGGAGTTGTTTCTGCATCCTCTCTGTATTTTATCTTTTATAGAAGCATTATGCACTGAAATTAAATTCCAAAGACATTCCCTATGAGATTTATCTGCAGCATTCATTTTAATACAAGAATTCATGTTCTTAAACCATACATTAAATGTGGATTGTATATTGTGCAAAAACTGTTACATAAAATATTTCCATTAACTTTAAGTCTTAATCAATTAAAACAATTTTCAATTTGTTTTGAATTATAATTCAAACAAGAAGCTAGGTTAAATTTTTGCCACCTGGTACACAGATACTTTAACATCACACACACACACACACACAGTAATTTTACCATGGCGATCTGTACCAAAGGGTACTTGCTGTTCTTTTATCATGTTATATGAGTCAACAGCTTCCATCCATTATATATTTTGGGGTTTTTTCACAAGGCCAGCCATTATTTGTTACTGTAGTGTGTGTGAATGCACACAAATACTTTGAGTTGTTTATAAACACCTGCAGTTTTCATGTACATGTCATCAACATTCTCCTTCTCTAGAACACATTCTCTTTTCCTACTCACTGAGGGAAGGTAACAGTCTGAGATCCGTAGTCCAAAAGTTAGCATCAGCCATTTAATCCAGGGCACTTGGTTAGCTAAACTAATGATACTACCTTTTCACACCCATAAAGATCCTTTAAGTATATTATTACATTATCCAGATTAAAATTTCTGAATCTTAATCATATAAAATACGTGACTTTGGTCACAATTAGTATAAAATATTTAAGAGAGAAAAATTTTGGATCTTCTTTTTAGAAAAGACAACCAACAGATAAAACTAGAAGGATGAATAGCTGGAGGAATAAAACCAACAAACATGAAAACTAAACAGGGCAAAGTTTATACCAGATCATATTAAAATGAACTGAAGAACCATCTGTTTTTTCCTACTTTGTATTATCATATTTTTTCATCTGAATATAACACTAGCTTTATTTTTAAAGACGTGCAAATTATTTTAATTCTCAGGACAAAATGAACTCAACTGCTTTGAAGTCTAAAATACGTTCCTTGGTTCAGTTCACTTGCTTGATACTTGAAGTTAATAAATGTCTATGCTATTAATTCAAGTAAAATGAAGCAGATACAAAGGTATTATATATCTAGCAAAATCTACTTTCTGAATGATTCTTCAATATTAGAAGATATTGATGATTGGCCTATCATTTTTCTAAAGACTGGTTTCCCTCAACCCTTCACACAATACTAAAATATCTTTCAAGTGATAATAATAGTGCTTTATATTTGAATTTAATTATGGTTAAACATTTTTTCAACTGTGATTGCTTTAACTCTTCCAGCAATATTTTGAAGTCAGCATAGCACATAGAGTTACTGTGTCAGTCAAAGATGCAGTGCAAGACAGGTGATGCCTTTGAAATGGCTAATTTGAAGGTGGTGTATTCACCAGAAGGCTGTTTACAGAAGTCTGGGTACAGCCCGGTGGTAATGATTAGCACAAAAGCCTAGGACACTGACCTAAACAGCCAGAGTTGTAAAGTCAGGTGCTTTGAGAAAAGCCCTGCATCTCATTTAGAGTCAACTCTCTGGAAAGGGTCTTGCGAGGGAGTGTGGAGAATAGAAAATTATCCTAACATATCTCCCAGTCTCCCTTGCCAGAGCTTCAGAGTGCTTGACCTAAACCAAAGCAAGGGACACAGGGAATTTTATGTGATCCAAAAACGTTAGCCTCCTGAGGCTATCAGTAGGGTGCAAAGAGATGAAGAATTAAATCTGGAGTGCCAATGGAAGATGCCCAGGGCATTTTTAAACTTCTATAGACCAAGGACAGTAAACACTTTGAGGATATGGTTATTATGACCACTTAATTAGAAGAGAAAACTCCCCAGGACACAATCAGGAAAAGCACGTTATACCCGACTCACATGCACTGAAGCCCATTCCCAGGGTGATGTTGTTCCCTATCTTTTAGATAAAGCCAAAGGCAAGTACTCTAGTTCCACTGGTCATACTTAAATACTAAGAATCCTTCTACTCACTGTTACTTGAAAAAAACCAGATTTCAGTAATGAAAATACCCATCCATATGTCTTAGTCCCAACCACAACTATTATTGAAGCTTTCTTTTCCCCAGCTTGAGCCTACTCAGGCTGGGAAGCTGCCGTAGAAAAGGGTTGAGATCAGTTTATCTTTATCCTCCCCTTCTACTGTAGCAGGCTGCCTTTTATTTCCTCAAAAATTGAGGCTCGAAGTGCAGAGGGGTACAGTCTTACCTGATAGATGCCATCGTGACCTAGTTTTAGTGCTCTCTGGCTATGGCTAATACCCAAAGCTGACTCATTATCATGGAGCGTTTGTTCAAGTCCACCCTTAACCCCTATTGGGAATGTTGTTATACACAACCTGGGTTACAGCAGTGTGCCTCTTCTGACAGGCCAGTTACGTCCATAATCTTCATCCTATCCTCTCAGCTTCTCTGTGGGACACCACCACCATTATCCTGCTGAATTTGCTTCATCTCCACCCCTGGCAGAAAACTCATGGGGCAAGGTCCATTTTATAATTAACTCTCTCCACATGCTACACACTTTTGACCTTGGTTAAAAAAAGTCGAGCTCTTCCTTGTGCAGTCATCCCTTCACTCTGGCATGAAGCCCATCCTCTATAGGAAACCTCTGCAGTAGGTTTTGGTCTCCTACATAGTGCTACGGTGCAAGGCTGAGAAAAAAACCCTAAAAAACAGAAATAAAGAGACAGAGAGACTGGGGAGCCAGGATGACCAATGCAAGTGCAACCAGCAAAGGCATTGGTCAGTCCAAGCCACTGATTTTTATTGGTAATCAACTGGGGTAAAGGCAAACTATGTGCTAAAGGGGAACTACGTGTGAGAATGTGCAGTTGTGCAGTTACTATGTATATTAATGCAAGGCTTGTAAAGGACAAGACAAAGCATTCTTGAATTACGAACAGAATAGAAAAAGTATAGGGTTGTAATTAGAGCCTTGTCCTTCTAGTTAGGATGGTTTTAATGGAATTTGGGTGCAAGTTACTTAGACCTTGGCAAGTAGGCTGCCGGACTCACTCCTCAAAACAAGCCAGTTGAGTGAGGGGTTAACTCTACATCCTGCTTTGGGCATAACCAATATCATGCTCCCCTACAATCCTTACATCTTCTTGCTGTTTAGATTTTGCAGACGCTATTCTACTGGGTCTGCTGCATTCTTCTGTACATCCCAAGCTCTCTGGGTACTTTTCTTGAAGCTCTTACTCTATTTGAACATACAAGGAGAATGGAGTTGCAATCCAGCAACTTGCTCCCAAGGAATTCTTTCATGCTGACCTGCTCAACAGCTACTCTTTTGGATTAAGATTGCAAATAATCAGTTCATACCAACCTCTTTTGCAAATACTACATGAGTCTAACACCTTACTTTAGAATTCAAGAGGAAATACTTTTTTTCTCAACATTTTTGACTCATAGCTAAAAATTGAAATTGAATCCCAATTTAACATTCTGGTACATCCTCTTAAATTTCATAATACCTTAAGAAAGATATGATTCTTACATTTTTGGTGTATATTCTGAGATTTAAAATGATTTCCCTGAGATTCCCTAGCTATAAACTATACATCAAGTTATTAAACTCCAGGTCTGATGGCTTTCTATTTCTTCATAGGAAATAAAGAAACTAAAGTATCATGTGAATAAAATGTTTGTCCAAGGCTAGGAATCATGAATTTCACTTGGACTATATGCATTGAATAAATACACTTACAATTACCATATCAATGACACATGAGTTTCTATATTAAGCTAGACATAGTTTGAGGCTGAAGTTGAGAACAGTGGAGACAGTCTCAATTAGTTAGATATTATTGTTCATATTAATGACAGTCCCATAAACCATGATAAAAATCCTAACACTTTACTTTCTAATGTATTGTGAAGCAATGTGACACACTTTGTCAACCAAGGCATCTCTTAGTTATTGCTAATATTTTCCTGCTTTTACTTGGTGGCAGCCAAAGGGGGCAGTTAAAATGGGCTGCTTTTTCAGATGGATAAAACACCAAGAAGAGATTCAGAGTGTGGTACCCTTATTAAGTGCTCCCTTCCTCCTACTTAAAACACCTGCCTTCACAATGGGAAATGCCCTGGAGCATAGCAATCTCAGAGCCATTCTTGCTTGTAACTGCTTTTTATTGCCTTTTTCTTCTCAACTCTTTTCAACACTACAAAGTGACAAAGTTCTTTTACT